ACAGTCTTTATTTTACAGTTAAAATAAATGTTTATCAAATAAAGTCTAATGTTACAACTAATCATGAATCCCTTTAAAAGCAACAAGATGGGACGACAGGATGAAGGTGTCTCTATGCATGGTGTGTGAATCCTATCACCGTAAGTTTTTCCTCATATTCTGGTTTCATGCTGCTTCACGTTTGATTGGTCAGATTTCCAGCTGCTGCGAATTAACGCCTGTGATCTGAATCTGCATTGGATCCGTGTGGAATGTCACGAGAGGTACTAACATGCTGCTAATCTTGTTGTCTCAGTGCTGGTGACAGGTGTAGTAAACAGCTCGGGCCAGCCAGCCGCTCAGCCCAACCCCCCTCCCTCACACTCAGGCTCAGGTACAGCACGTAGAGAGGACGGAGGGAGAGTGTGTCTGGAGTGAGTCGTGAGGCATGCGTGGTGGTTGGGACAGGGCAGGGAGTTGGCATGACCCCACACACACACACACACACACTCACACACACACGTCTGTGGTGCTTTCATGTGTGCTGACTCGTGCCGTGCCGTTCTGAAATGTGCCGTGCCGTGGCGTGTCCTCCTCTGCTCCTCGAGTACATCAAGTGTAGTTACTCTTCAGTGCATGATGAGCTACATTTTTAATTATCTTGCACAGCCTTCCACGTGACAACTCAGAGAGTGAGAAATGGGTAATTAGAAAAGGAAACAGGAAATGGTTTGGAGTGGTGTGTGTGTTTTGTAGCGGGATAATGAAGACCAACAAATAAATTGCAGAGAATGACACATTTCTGACCCTTTCTAACGTGGCTTCTCTTCCTTCTCTCTCTCTGACAGGGTGTGCGTTTCTGACGTACTGCGCACGGGAGTCGGCCCTGAAAGCCCAGAGCGCTCTCCACGAGCAGAAAACGCTTCCAGGGGTACGTGCGCAACAAAACAAACAGTCGTAAACACACACACACACGTCCCACGACACTACACGCTTACGCAACCATGCACACAATCTTGCATGCGTATTCATATCGACACAGAAACACACAGCCGACTACAATGTACACAAACCTACACATTGTGTGTATGTGTGTGTTTGTGTGTGTGTGTGTACTGGTTTTGGCTACAGAATGAGGACCATGTTAGGTGACATTTTCCTGGTCCTCACTTTGTTTGCAGCTCTGCTGTTCTTTACTAGTTAGGTTTAGCGGTATGGTGTGAGTTAAGTTCTGGTTCAGGTTAGGTTTAACTATAGAACAGTAATGGTTCGTTTTACTAGTTAGGTTTAGAGGTATGGTGTGAGTTAAGTTCARGTTAGWGTTAACTAYAGACCAGTAATGGTTAATTTTACTAGTTAGGTTTAGAGGTATGGTGTGAGTTAAGTTCTGGTTTAGGTTAGGGTTAACTATAGACCAATAATGGTTAATTTTACTAGTTAGGCTTAGAGGTATGGTGTGAGTTAAGTTCTGGTTTAGGTTAGGGTTAACTATAGACCAATAATGGTTAATTTTACTAGTTAGGCTTAGAGGTATGGTGTGAGTTAAGTTCCGGTTTAGGTTAGGGTTAACTATAGACCAATAATGGTTAATTTTACTAGTTAGGCTTAGAGGTATGGTGTGAGTTAAGTTCCGGTTTAGGTTAGGGTTAACTATAGACCAGTAATGGTTAATTTTAGGAGTTAGGCTTAGAGGTATGGTGTGAGTTAAGTTCCGGTTTAGGTTAGGGTTAACTATAGACCAGTAATGGTTAATTTTAGGAGTTAGGCTTAGAGGTATGGTGTGAGTTAA